TCTTCACACATTGATCTAGACATTATTCCGAATCGAATGAGCTATTGAACATAATTTTCGTAATAGTATGTCCCATAAACACGCTTTTGAACTTGTTGATTAGACTAATAGAGGCAAATTTATAAAATTAATTGTAAATTTACCATTATATTTTTCTTAAGGTGTCGACTATTGGCATCTTTACCTTATAAACATACGCTGCATTGCCAAAAGGACCCAAGTTTATATCTCCGTTATTTTTTAGATTGTTCTGAACGGAATAAACGGCATAATAAAGAAACATTTGCAAGAGTTGAGAGACGTCTTCGTGAACATGGAAGATTTAAATATTTTAAATTTGTAATTTTAAGGAGTGCTTTATACCGATTCAATTATTTTTGAGCACGCCTTTCGTTATATTAATTTCTTTTCTTTGGAACATGTGATGGGTCTGGACATCTTGTAATTTAATCAGTGGATTATAAATGTATATAAACTTCTTCTTGTAAATGCATTCTTTATTTGCCAGTAACGCCTTGTTTGAAAAAGCTGTTTAAGGAAACTGTCCCCTTTTAAATACGTATTACAAACATAATCTCTGAATATTTAAATAGCTATGAGTTCCCTCGTCAAGCGAGTTCCCTCGTCAAGCGAGTTCCCTCGTCAAGCTGATGCTTATTTAAAATTCCAAGATTTAATTGTAAAAAAATTAGCGCCTTATTTTATTTTCAATCAGGTGAATAGTTGTCAGAAGCACTATACAATTTACTATTTTTTTTACTTGCAAGTAAAATTGCGAATGAAGCATTTATTTACTATTTTATTTTAATATAAACTTAGCAAGACAATTATTGAGTGCTGAGTAAAGAAAATAAAGTTAAAAAGTAGAGATATAGTTCTTATTTATTTTTGAAAATATCTGGAGTTTCTTGAAACAAATCCGATATGAAAAGTTTTCATGTATATTTACAGAAAAAAAAATGAAAGAAACCCAGAAGATCCAATTAAAATTAAAAAGTGTGTACATCTAATTAAAAACCGTTACAAAACCCTTTCCAAACCAATTTCCATCTGGTTAAAATGGCAGAGTGATTGTGTGTCGGTTGACAAACATACATCATAGAAATTTATTACAAATGACAGATAGATGTCCCTGAAAGGCATTACAACGTTAACACGAATATACCACACGGTTCATTACCCACCCTAAGGAGCGATCCCTATATACAAGGGGGAACCGGTTTTAATACGAATCAAGCTGCACTTCGTCATGAATTATATTAATCTAATCTTTTCCAATGGTTTGGCGTAGAAAAAAAAAACCCATCGAACGCCTTGAAAATTTATAATTCCTTCTGAATTTTCAGTAAATATCGATAATAACAAAACAGGGTGTAGAAACCTGGAGTTTTTTGTAAACCTTCGAAAAGTATTTATTTTGAAACATTTTAAAAGGAATTAAAAAAAAAAAAAAATTACGCGCCATTCTGTATTAAATCTATGAAAATTTGCTGCTTTTGATTTTAATAAATATCTAGCAGTTTTTAAATGGCAGGATTTTTCCACCTTTTTTTCTTTAACGTCTCTGTAAAATGCTACCTTATCGTTACACAAATTTAAAGCTCTAAATATTCTCGAGATACATAGTATCGTGAAGTATTCCCAGTGGCGCGCATATAAATAAAATTTGCTTCTGGGGCGCATCCACATATCTTAATTTCGTATTTAAACTCAATATATTATTGTGAACGCACTAATAAATAGTAGCAATTCTTATCCAGAACTGTTTCGTAATTAAAAATGTTAAAATCGTTTTAACAGTCTTTTTCTCTCTAGGCTGAAAAAAAGCAATTAGCACAACACGACGACCCGAAATATAAATCCAGGAAAATGGAAAAAAAAAACCGAAACCGTGAAAGTAAAGCCGATAACAAAACATAAACCATTTACATTCCGAAATTCTACGACTCGGATCTTAAATGGGATTTTAATGTTCGACTCCATATAAAAGTTGATGGCTATCTTTTTTTTTAAAGCTTCCCTTGATACCCGATCGTTTATTACTTTTTTCACCTTTATTCGTTCAAATTGATATTAAACAGTTATTCATAATGAAATGATGTGTTGGTTTTATTAATATTTACACTATTATAATAATAGTTTATTATTTGTTAACATAATTTAAAAAATAAATTTGCTATGGTTCAAAAAGCAATTGACTAATAAATTTATAGCAAATAATATAAAACTATTAAACTATTAAACTAAACTATTAAACTAAACTATTAAACTATTAAACTATTAAACTATTAAACTATTAAACTATTAAACTATTAAACTATTAAACTATTAAACTATTAAACTATTAAACTATTAAACTATTAAACTATTAAACTATTAAACTATTAAACTATTAAACTATTAAACTATTAAACTATTAAACTATTAAATATTAAACTATTAAACTATTAAACTATTAAACTATTAAACTATTAAACTATTAAACTATTAAACTATTAAACTATTAAACTATTAAACTATTAAACTATTAAACTATTAAACTATTAAACTATTAAACTATTAAACTATTAAACTATTAAACTATTAAACTATTAAACTATTAAACTATTAAACTATTAAACTATTAAACTATTAAACTATTAAACTATTAAACTATTAAACTATTAAACTATTAAACTATTAAACTATTAAACTATTAAACTATTAAACTATTAAACTATTAAACTATTAAACTATTAAACTATTAAACTATTAAACTATTAAACTATTAAACTATTAAACTATTAAACTATTAAACTATTAAACTATTAAACTATTAAACTATTAAACTATTAAACTATTAAACTATTAAACTATTAAACTATTAAACTATTAAACTATTAAACTATTAAACTATTAAACTATTAAACTATTAAACTATTAAACTATTAAACTATTAAACTATTAAACTATTAAACTATTAAACTATTAAACTATTAAACTATTAAACTATTAAACTATTAAACTATTAAACTATTAAACTATTAAACTATTAAACTATTAAACTATTAAACTATTAAACTATTAAACTATTAAACTATTAAACTATGAAACTATTGAAACTATTGAAACTATTGAAACTATTGAAACTATTGAAACTATTGAAACTATTGAAACTATTGAAACTATTGAAACTATTGAAACTATTGAAACTATTGAAACTATTGAAACTATTGAAACTATTGAAACTATTGAAACTATTGAAACTATTGAAACTATTGAAACTATTGAAACTATTGAAACTATTGAAACTATTGAAACTATTGAAACTATTGAAACTATTGAAACTGTTGAAATTATTAGAACGATCTATTAGAACGAACTATTAGAACTATACTGCTGGGCTTCGAATCCCAGACCAGACCATGTGGATTTTTAATTAAATTGCATGGTTCGGTTTAGGATTTGATGTGTGCCGTATTAATAGAAATTCAATTTATGTTGATATGACATGTAGATTATAAAATCGCCATGCATTACCGTCTCGATGATGGTGGGTGAGGTTTTCCGGGTTTTCCTCACCTGTAAGTCAAATGGCACCATCAATCATCTCTAAGTCGCCCCGGAGCGCCACGGCAAATAATAATAATAGCCGTCCCTTTCCCCGCACAAGCTCAGCTTTTGGGGTTAAAATTCACTCGTAAGGGGGTGAATTAGGGAGAGTATTATTATTATTATCAGAACTATTAGAAATATTAGAACTATTAGTACTATTAGAACTATTAGAACTATTAGAACTATTAGAACTATTAGAACTATTAGAACTATTAGAACTATTAGAACTATTAGAACTATTAGAACTATTAGAACTATTAGAACTATTAGAACTATTAGAACTATTAGAACTATTAGAACTATTAGAGAACTATTAGAGAACTATTAGAGAACTATTGGAACTATTGGAACTATTGGAACTATTGGAACTATTGGAACTATTGGAACTATTAGAACTATTAGAACTATTAGAACTATTAGAACTATTAGAACTATTAGAACTATTAGAACTATTAGAACTATTAGAACTATTAGAACTATTAGAACTATTAGAACTATTAGAACTATTAGAACTATTAGAACTATTAGAACTATTAGAACTATTAGAACTATTAGAACTATTAGAACTATTAGAACTATTAGAACTATTAGAACTATTAGAACTATTAGAACTATTAGAACTATTAGAACTATTAGAACTATTAGAACTATTAGAACTATTAGAACTATTAGAACTATTAGAACTATTAGAACTATTAGAACTATTTGAACTATTAAACTAAACTATTAAACAATTTGGTGAGATAAATATATACCTAATTTACCTGTTTTTTTTACATTTGTTCAATACAAATTATTTTTGGACAAATTATTTTTAGACAAACTACTTTTGGACAACTTATTTTTCGAGAAATTATTTTTGAACAAATTATTTGTTTAAAAAATTTTATTTGCTATTTAAAAGACAAATTTTTTATCTAAAATGACAAAATCAAGTAATTTCTGTTTAGTTGAAGAATATTATTCTGCTCCTCAAAAAATGTTACTTTCTTTTATTTAGAAGGGACGGTCAAACAATTAATTAAATACAACGATTCTTTAATTAAAACTGCCTTAAAACGATAAAACAGTATTTATATAAAAATGTGGTTTTCCAGACTTGTTCTCGAAGAATCGTCTTTTGATTAAGAATCGTTACCTCCATTATTTTTTAGACTAATACATCCACCAGAATTTGTAATTTCGTTACGATTGGGGGGTCTTAGGGGGTCTCGAAGGTTGATCTATTCGATAGAATATTCTTGGTAACGGAAAAGATGGAGTTTGTATAAGACCCAAATAATGTAGAGATGGCCTTAAGTTATTATAGTAGGACCTGAATGGTCGAAAATATTGTTTTTATATATCTCATAATGAGTAAAAGATCGTAGTATTGATATCGTGTTTTTTCTGTTCCGTTTCAGCAGACATAAAATGCAGCGTGCGGAGCGCGTGGGCGCCGCGGGGCAGGGACTCGGCGGGGGGGCCCGCCGACTTAGCGGATGGCGACCCCAATGAGATCGAGCTCGCAGGAAGCGCCGGGCCACCGAGCGAGGGTGGCGGACTCCTCTAGGAGCGGGAACGCCACGGCGAAATCATCCGACCACCAACACCACCAACAGCAGAACCAGAACGTCGCAGCAGCCGCTGCCGCAGCCGCTACAACAACTTCCAACGTAACCGCGGCCGCGACCGCAGCCGCCCATCAGCCTAATCCGGCGAACGCCAATTTCGAGTACGATGACAACGAATGGGATATCGGTGAGTAAGATATTCTTTTTTGTAAATAAGCAATCTATAAAAAATATGCCTCCGAGTTTATTTGTTCAATTTTAATATAAAATTTCATTGAGTGGTGAGTGTGGTATCAGTGCTTGTCATCGATGATTTTATATTGAATTCAGTATACATTCATTGCGTTTGGTGCATGGTTGTAAAAAGTTTTACCATTTTTTTGGTGTGTTTGTAGGCATCGGTGATTTGATAATCGACTTGGATGCAGACATAGAAAAGACCAACGACCAATCGGGGGGCATGGCGGCTAACGCCGGTTCCGGAGGAGCGCAAGCCTCCAAAACGCAGGCCACGGCCAAAATGCACATCGAGCACTCAGCCACCGCCGACAAAGGGCTTAAGATGAAGATCAAACGCACGAAACCGGGCACCAAAACCTCGGAGGCGAAACACGAAATCGTAAAATCCAACGAGCTGAATGGCATCCAGGCCGACCAACAACCGGATCTGAAGGGCGGCGGCCAAAAGATACACGCAGCGGCGGCGCCTCCTTCGGGCGCCGGCGTATTAAACTCAGCAGCGGCGGCCGCGGCTGCCGCCAAAAGAGGCTCAAGCGGCCATCGTCGGGACAAAGTCAGAGACAAGCATTCTTCCACGTCATCCAACTCCTCGAATTCCTCTTCGTCTTCGTCGTCATCCTCATCGTCGTCCAGTGATAACAAACCCACCAACAACAACCCCTCGAAAGCGGGGTCGGCTGCGGCCGGCGCCGCACCCAGTGCTGTGAGTGTGTCCGAAATGAACGGCATCATGCGAGTGAGTGCTCCGCAAACGGGTCCGCCGCGGTCCGTGTTCCCGGCGAGTACGGGTCCAGGACCGCCACCCGCGTCTTCGGTGACGGGTGGACCGACGACCGCCGGACCGCCGCCGAGTCCAGCCGCCGCCACCGCTCCCGGTTCCGCGTCCAAACCGGAGCAGGCGAAAGTGTCGTCGACATCTTCCGGCGGTAACTCGGCCGCCGTAACTGCCGCAGCTTCGGCCGTGGCAGTGGCGGCGGGTATAGCAGCGACGGTTACGGGCAGTGCCGTCGGCGTGCAGGTGCAACCATCGAATGCGATCGTTAGTGATGATGGCAGTTTGTCACCGCCACCGCCTAATAAGAAAATGAAGCATGATCCGAAGGTAAGTTAATATTGATTAATTAAAAAATTTCATCAGTTAAAAAAATACAGGAATACTCAAAAAAAAAAACGTTTTTGCATAATTTAAATTGATTAAAAAAATACAATAATACTATAAAAGGAAACTTTTACATAATCTAAATTGATCGATTTAAAAAAAAGAATACAAAAAAACTAAATAAAACCTGTCAAAAAGCTAAAAAATCTAAAAAGGCCAAAAAAGGCAAAAAATACGTTTCTATTAGGGGAGTCCTCTTTAATTTTTAACTTATTTTACGGCCTGGAGGCATTGAGGGTTGCTTGGCAACCGGTGAACTTTTTTCACAATACTGCTGAATTTTATTTATGTTGCAGTTTTTGATTTCCTGATTAAAAGTGTCCACGGATACAAAGTTCTCTTATTACTAGTTTTTAAGATACAGGGTTAAACTCGTGAATTACAATAACCGGTAGACATCGTGATTCATAAGAAAAACCAAAAAAATATAAAAACAAACAGACTTACTAATTAGTTTTACTTTTAATACACAAGTCCAGGACCGGATTTAGATTTTAATTCTGTATCTGTCTTTTTATTTTGTTTAATATTCGAACAAATTGTTTATTTTATTACTTTTAGGATTCACACAAAGTAATTCTTTAAATTAAAGAAAAACTACATATTTCAAAAATCGTTATAACGCCTAAAATAATGATTAGAAATAAAAAGAACCGTAACAGTAAAAATACAAAATACAAAAAATACAAAATAGGTTTTACATCATCCCAACAAAATATAAGCTATTTATAAGGCCAAAATAGGTTAAGAGCCATGGATTTCCGTTTAAATTATATTTTCAGACTGACTTGTAATTCAATTATTTAGTTGCGTCCCCGCGTATATATCAAAGTATCAAATAAAGCTTAAAAATATTATTAGTTAGGGTAGCTATAATTTATATAAAATAAAATAAAACATAGTAACCGGCATGATGGTAATAGAAAAAAGCAAATGGCCGATCCTTTCGGCTTTCCAACGAAATCCAGCAAAATGTGAATAATATAAGGCGAAAGAAACATTACCTGACAATTATCCCAACGTTAACATACAATAATCACATAAAAGACAAGATAATTAAGGAAAACTACTCATAGTAGGCACATTTATCGGCACATACTACACATTGAACTCGATACACCAAAAGACCGGTCGAATCCAAACGAATCGGTTTTACCTCGGCGTGGTTGTTCAAAGAAACCCTATGGACCGTGCGCAAACCAAATTTCGAGAAGGAAGCGAGCGGTGGTCGTTTAAGTTTTGTTACGAGAAACTGCATCATATTTTTTTAAACACCGTAAATGATTTTGTTAAAGTTAAAGTTAAACAAACTAAAAAAACTATTAAGAGAAAGGAGTAGATAAAGATTATATAAAAATTATCAAAAAACCGCTCGAGCAAATGTATTTCCTTACGAGGAGCACTCGAAAAGTCCGTTTGAAATAATAAATTTATATTTTAACTTTTAAAAAATCTTAACATGACCAAACTCTTTATTACACTCCTCATGTTTGAATAATAAATATAAAATTTTAAAAGATATCAAAATACTCGATGGAGATTTGTTAATATGCGATAAAACGTCGATAAAAATATGTTTCAGCATATGATTTTTTTTTAATAAATGTACAGCGGAAAGTTTTTTGTTGAGTTTATTTCAAAAGTAATCACGTTGACATCAATGATTACATAATACATATTAATTTGCTAAATAAACAAACAAACCAACAAACAATAAAATTGATCCGTCGTCGGACACAGAGCCCAGGGTCTTTAATTCATTTCGTGTAGCGCACCACTCCATGAAATAACACATAATCCCAGTTGTCGTATTGTGCGGTGGCATTTTAATCGATTTTCATTTAATTGTAAATTGTAAGCCCGACACGGGTTTTCGAACAACCCTCGATAACGGCAACGGCAACATCCAAATGCCCATCAAATGCCTACATCATTTTTCAATTAAACGCTCATGCACTCAATTTTGTTGTTATTTCGTTTCGTTTTTATTATTTCGTTCTGTTTTTGTTTTGTTGTCGGGTGCGTTTGGATGTGTTAATTAAAAAATAAAAAAATAATCCGTTGAATTAATGAATTAATTTTCTCCTGAATTCGGGAATAAGATGCGTTCTAAATAGTTGACAAAAGCATCAACTTTCTGTTTGCAACATTTTGCCCACATCTTGTTTTCTATTCGTATTAGGAGTATGTGTTGAATTGGTTTTGTTAATTTTTTTAACAGCTTTCCATAATGAGTAATCAGCGAGTTGTATATCTGTGAGCTTTCTCAGATATTTGTTGGTTGACTCAATTTTAATTTTTTCTATCTCTCTTCGTAGCTGTTGTGTAGGTCTATTTAATTTGTTTTTGTTCTCTTCGGTTCTCATTTTTTGCCACTCCTTTCGAGCCTTTTATTATTCCATGCAGCTTGTTGGATATTGACCATAAACAATTTCGTTTCTGCACCCAAATCTTTCACTGTCCAAATTGGGATATTTAATTCAATTTTTTTAGCAAGTTCAAGTTAAAATCTTTCTCAGTCTGTATGTTTGTTCGTCAGTATGGTAGTGAGTTCTTTAGTGATATTTTCACTTTATAAAATTTGCAGCAATATTTATGGAAATAAAAAAGTCTAGAAGGTTGAAATTTTGATTATATCCCTTGGAATGCCACCTACATTTCGAATGTAATGAGTAGGATATATACAGATGGATCACGAAGATGTGAGCCTTGATTTAATTCTTTAAAAGACAGTGGCGTGTGTAACACCAGAGGCGTTACTACTTATTGATCTATGCGGACGTGGTTCTTATATATTTGAGATTGAATTTCCTTACAAGTAAGTCGTTTAATATTTAATTGCCATTGGTAAACTTTACAACGATGCCTAATTTTTTAACTTTTTGTCGACACAAATGAACAATATTAATAAATATGTTTCTGTTATACTTAAGGACGGGGTATCCCTGTGTATTAAAAGTGTATGTGTAGACCAAAAGTTAAATCGACAGTTTTCCGAATATGTAGTGTTTAAAAATCTAATTTTTGGCCAAATTAAAAATAAAGGTCTAACTTAGGTCACCTTACTATTGAAAATTAATAAATTTATTATTTTCAATAAAAACCAATCATGTAAAATAACCCCCTTTTATTTCATCTCAAAGGTGCCGTGTAGAATTATTTTAATCTCGATGTCAAACAAATAATAAAAAAAAAATGTAATACGCCTAAGTTCAACCTTTACTTGCAATTTGGTACACTCAGAATATTTAAATATTGTATATTTTTCAAAACGTGTGGATTTGAAATTTATAAGTCACTTTCTTTGAAAAAACATGTCAAAACGAATTTGGACCAAAAATGGCGTCTAATTTAACTCTAAATCAACCCCGAAAAATCAATAATTACTTCCTGTAATGTAATAAAGATGGTGCTCCGATCGATAATATTTTGACTAGTATTTGATTATTTCCGTTTATATTATGTGTGTTTACGGGGGATATACGGGATGATAATACTGCCTCTGATACTGTTTATATGATACAATTGGAAACGACCTTTTTTCATCGGCACTCTTTTTTCTGACCTTTTGACACGCGCCTATTTGTTATATGATGTATATTTTATTTTATCAACTAAAAGTATAGGAAATTAGTACATTGTGATAATATCATTTTAATGCTATTTTTGAAACTAGTTCAAAAGTTGCATTTAACGATACTCAATGTTTCATTTTACCGTCAGTTTTAGTTTGACATATCCGTCATTTTATGTTTACAAAGCTCATTTTCTAGTAGAAAGTAAGAGAAACAGTCAAAATAAAATGCGATAAACACTTTTTATCAATTTCGTTTATGTCAACTGAAAGCGACAATTGCTGAAGACGTAAATTAGGTCGAGAAATTAAAAAATCTATACTATAAGTAACATACCATATATTATACCTGTTAAAATAAATCAAAAATAAGAGAACATATCGTTGACGTATATACTTTTCCATCTGTGATTAGTGATTACCAATTGCAAATTACGTATGAACATGCTTCTGCGCAAAAAAAAACCATTATTTCAAGTACTTGTATCATTAAAGTCCATTAAATTATTATTTTTATAAATTTGCTAATCTTTGCACTTTAAGTTTCATTTTATGGGGTATCCAGACATTTTAATCCTCGTCCTCTTCTATTTAAAATTATCTCAGGTGCCATATATTCCGAGTAAAATTTTTCTAATTTTTCAACCATATTTAAAAAAAAAAATGGGTTCAAAATGAATTTTTTCAACAAATAGTGGATTTTCATCTCCAATATATACTACAAAGTAGCACAATTTTCTTTGAGCTATACCTAGCAGTCCTTGAATCTAAAAGTATATAAAATCATTATTAGAAAATCAAACATAAAAAGAATATTAATATTGTAGTATCATTTCTAGCACATTTCTTAAAAATCATGAATTATTTTAACATATTGAAATTTTTCACCTGGTAAAAGTAGTTATGGTTTTCTTTTAAATGAATGTCACCATCTTCTATTTTTAAGCATGGAAATGGGTTTGAATATTAGGTAATGTGCGCCAATAATGTCAAATTATGACAATTCGCAGAAAACGTCAACTTTTAATTTAGATTTTAATGTGCAAAAGCCTACCTACTTTGGATATTGATCGTAGAAAAAATATATTCAGAATAATGAAACATTATTATTAAATAAAAAGTTTTTTTATTGTCAAATTTAATACGTAATATTATTTTTTAATTGCAAATATTTGAATGTTAAAATTATAGCGTTTAATTTTTTTATTCAATGACGAACTCGAGAGTGATAGAAAAAAAATACTACCTACCTTTAATGCAGGAAGTCGATGTCAATTTATCCAAAAATAAAACTGATTAAAATGTACAATGAAACTCACTAGGACACTTGGCACAAATAAATCAATTTTCTATTAAAGAAAATAACACT